CTTTAGTTAGAAAACATCAGAAACATTGTAGCAGTTATAATGCTCTTGTATTGTGTCTGAAATGTATCTGTCAGTGTGGAAGACATGACTTGTCAATCACTGAGTCAGCCTGGAGGTGAACTCCCTGCTGCCAGGATCAAGGAGCACACTGAGAAAGAGCCTGATAGACCTCAGAAGAAGAAGAAGACCTTTTATTGATCCCCAAGGGGAACTTTTAGTATTTCAACTCTTTTATTGTACACAGTAAACTACACACATGCACACCTATTAGGGGTGTTATGGTTCACAAACATTTCGGTTCGGTACGTACCTCGGCTTTTAGGTCAAAGTTCGGTTCGGTACGTTTTCGGTACAGCAGAAAAACGTGAAAATATGTTTTTTTATATTTGAACACCTTTATTACAATGACAGTGAGTTAATTTATGTAATCTTATATTCTACTTATTTATATCAGCTTTGTATAATTCCCTTGCACGTCGTCGTAATATAGCTAAACTTCGAGGACTTTATTTAGACAAAGAAATGTCGACATGAGTCGATAGTGACATAGCTGCACAATTTCGTGCCAACGACGCCTTAGTAAAACCAAGCGGGTCCAATTAGACTGTTTAATACCTGCTAACTGCAACAGTAACTCATCCACTAAGAACATGTAGTCTCTACAACAACGCAATATTTTCTTCTTTAATGAGAACGTAACGATGTCTTAACCATCTCCGTCTAGACGACGTTATTCGTACAGAGAGGAGACGACACTTCATTTGTGGTGTTAGAGAACGCTGTGAGTATTAGCGATCCCGACCTGTGTGAGCTCTCTCGATCGTCTATGTCGGCCCACATACCTGGAGCGAAACCATTTGTACCGTTGTATTCCATATAGACGCATGGTTTCCTTCTTCTGACTCGTCACTTTTTGGTTGAGGGCGATCTAAATTCTGCGGTAGGTGGTGAGCTTTTGCTTGCAAGCTCGCTCTGTTTGCTTTTTGGTCGTTCGAATAATGTGGTGCGTTCTATAGGAATAACTAAGTACAATGTTCCGCGATGGACACGACCCATAGACGATGGAGACAGGGGATCGCTCTCCCACAAGAGCGTGTCGCCTCGTAACAATAACGGTCGTCTACGACGGAAGCGTTCGTTCAATTAAAAAGAATTTTTGTCTTTTATTTATACTGTTCGTCAGATTGTAATTTGACGACGGAACCATGTCATGTGCATGTCAATTTTATTGTCTAATACAAGTCAAGTCAGGGCTGTTACGACGTGGATTCACAAATAAAATAATATAAAACATAAATAAACTCACTTAGTGAATAAGTGTCAAATCTATTATTTATGTCTTTTTATACCTTGACTTCATAG